TAATTCTAGAAATAACAGATATATTTCAGTTTAGCTTTAAAAGACAGGACCAAGGGAAATATAAATGTTCCCAAACACCCCAGTTGGGAAGATTGTATTCTACTAACTCTTACTTTAGACTAAAATCCTGTCATGGAAACAAAATCAACAAAAAAAAGAGTTGTTGGTGTTCAATAAAATAATTATCACTCTAAACTTAGATATTTTAATTTCAGAGTGATGCTTAGGTAGCATCTTACAACAAGAAATTAATGTTTCTTTCTGAAAATGCACAGTTAATTATTGTAAGACCTTTACACACACACACACATGTATATTAGTAAATGAAAAATAATCTAAGTGGTTCGACTGTGTACAGAAAAAATAAAAAATCTTATAAAGTTTTTATGTCACTTTTCTCCATTTTAAACTGTATGTACAGCACTCAATTATCAATATAGTAAACTATTAGCTTCAGACCAAAGGATGATCTATTGTTAACATGCTGTTCTGATTGATAGTTAAGAATACTTAACTTTGTTTTGTTTCTAAATGTTGCTCAGAGTAGTAAATTGTTTGTTTTTTTGGCAGCTACACGAACAACAGGAAGACTACATTCTTTATTCAAGACGATGGCAGAAGTTATGTTTTCACAACTTTTAAATTATACAACAAAAATAATAAAATGTGTACTGTATTTTTAAGAAAAACTAATTTCTATAAACCTCAAGGTATTCTGAAGGATAAAGGTTAGGTAAATTATCAAAACAGGATGAAAGTTTGCATGGTTCCCACACCTTCAGAAAAATGAAATGCCCTGACTTTTCCCAGACCTATCCCTACCCAAAATATGTTATTCTCTGAACATTAGATCTTGCTTGAAATACCATTACCTATAATAAAATGTGAGATTGCAAAACACTATTCATGTATTGTTCGTTAAAAAAAAAGGCTGTATGATCAGTTACAGTTTGCTTAAATGTTATAATGCAGAGTTTCTGTACAACAGGTCATGCCATTATAAAATTATTGATACTTTATCAGAACATTAACAACAAAGGCTGTTTAACCATTTGTTTACGATTATGTATGCCAACACTTTTAATTTTAGTTAAAATCACAAAGATGTTATTACTCTATAAACAACACTAAAAAGTTTAATGATTATGATTATTGTGCTCGGTAGGAAACTGTTGTACACAGTAAAATATTTTTTAACAAGTATCTTTCTCATACATCAAATATTTATTAAAGCAATATTTTACAATGTGAATACAAGCACAAAAAGGTACAAACTTTCAGCTGCTAACCATACACTGTAGTAAACTCATATTTTCAATGTCTATAAAACAATTTAAATATTAATGAAACCATCTATTGATCCAGAGCAACTTGTATTATATTTGCATGGGCATATAAAGTTCATCTTCATTAAAAGTATTGAAATCTTTGAATTAAATTACCATGTATTTATCGATAGATCATGTTCCACAATTAATTGACCATGTATTTATTGATAGATCACGTTCCTGAATTAATTGACCATACATATATTGATAGATCATGTTCCTGAATTAATTGACCATACATATATTGAAAGATCATGTTCCTGAATTAACTGACCATGTAT